CTTTCTTCTAAATTGTGGATGTCAGAAGTGATCTGCCAGTCACTGCCTTTTGGAAAAGGCTGTTGCTCTCTAGGGATAAGAAAGTTTTATTCCCTCTACTCATTGTAGGGGTTTCACATCCTCAAAATGGAGCATGAAGGGATTCATTTCCACAATTAGAAATGGATTGTCATAGAAAGTCTTCAAAATAAGACTGATACCATGTCTTTATCTCTGATACATATGATTTCATATATATATAACTCTTAATTTCCTTTGTTTTATTTAAGTTCCATCTCTGGTATGCATAGTTTTTGATGAAAAATAAGTGTTAGATATTTGCTGATTGCTCAAGGTAATATTTTTGATATATTATCTCACATATGGTACATTTTTAGTTATTGACTACATTGCAACATTCATTTTGTATTTTTATCTTATTCAATTAAAAATAATAAAAGTAAATTAAGATTTAACAGAATCAGTAGTCAATGTGATTATTATATTAATAATTACTTATTGAGATTTTTATTGATTTCTTAATGAGTTATTTACTTGTAATTTCATCATTGCCATCAGAGAGTGCTAAATTTGCATTTTGTCCCAGTATAACCTTTATACCATGTAGCTTTGTAATTGCATATTTATTATTTTTTGGATTGTTCTTGTGTGCTTGTGTGCATGTATGTGTGTAAATTATCTGTTTATAACTTAATTTAAGGGGTTAGGGAGATGTCTCAGTGTTTGTAAGCACTTCTTACTCTTGCAAAATACCTGGGTTTGGTTCCTATCTTATGCATTGTGATTCACAATCACCTATCACTTCAGTTCCAGGGAATCTGACACCTTTTCCTGAATTCTCTGGGCAGGATGTATTCACTTGTTTCAAATTCATCTATGAAGAAAAATAATCATACATAAGGTAAAATACACAAAGTAAAATAAAAATACATAAAGTAAAATAAAAAGAAATATATAACTAATGAGCAATTAATAGACAAAAGTTTCAAAGCTATAAACAGAGACATCTCTCCAGCAAAATCAGATCACTGACACACATAAATGAAATTATGAACTGAATTCTACATATGGTACATTTTGATAAAACGTATTTTGAATAAATATGTGCTGACAAAAATCAATGATATAAATATACTTATAACACTTCCTGGAGGATATAAGTTTTAAAACTGGTCCCTAAGTGAATTTGACTCCTATTGTACAGTTGGGAATATATGCCTAGTACTGTAGACCCATGTAAAGCCATGCTTAGCATCACAGGCATGCAAAGGGAACTAAAGAGCATAGCTTCAAACTGACACACACACACACACACACACACACACATATTCACTTGCTACTTTCAGTCTCAATAGGAGAAGCCTTCTCTTTGTAGTGAAAGATAGTTTATGCAGAGACACATGGATTTTCAAAGCACAGAATAAGTGATGTTTGAGGGCTAATTCTTGAACAAAACATGTACATCACCTCACTAAGATGTGGAGGATGTTGAATAAGAAGGGTTCAAGATCATAAGAGCAATAAGTTATGGAGAAGGGTTGCAAAATATCAACTTTGGGAATGACTAGCTATTGCAATTATGAACTCATAGCAGCTGCGGCTACCTATACAGGGCTGACAGGTCAGTCATCAATGGGGAGTGGGACACATGGAGCACTATTCGTTTCTGCTGAACTGTTTTCTACTTGCATATTCTAGGAGAGAGGGTGTCAATGTTATCACCTATCTACACTCTGGTGAGCTCATGAGGTTCCAATGGTTAATTACAAACCCAAGGTCAAATTAATGGCCTTTGCTAAACTCGGTACATCACAAATGAAACAAAAAGGCAGGAATGAAGGAAGGGTATTTGTAGTGGGAGGACTATTGGGGGATGATGAGAGAAGATGACAGATGAGAATAACCAGAAAATATATATATTATACATACATATGCAGTTTTCAAATAATGAATTTAATAAATAACAATTCTAAATCACTCTCATTAAAAAATCTAAATCTTTTATGTTCAAAATTTCCACTCTCTCCCCAGCTATTCAGTACAGAACTTTAATTCTAGACAGAGCAATAAGACAACTGAAGGAGATCAAGGAGATATAAATTGGAAACAGATCACAGTAGTGTTATTTGAAGATCTTATAGTATATATAAACAACTCCTAAGATTCTACCAGTAAACACTTTCAGCAATGTGACTGGTACAAAATTAAACAAAACAAACAGCATCCATTTTTACACAAATGACAAATGGATACAGCAACATTTAGGAGAGGATTGCCTTCCAGCATTAGTAGAGGTAAGAGCTCTCTGGTGGCTCTGCTGCTATATCTCACTAATCTTCAACTTCAACTTCAATATCTGTCTCTGGCTTCTTATTATTCATGTTACAACAACACCCTTCATTATAGCCACCAACAGTATAAAGTATCTTGGGGAAACCCCTACCTAAGCCCCACAACGACAGGCTATGACAGATTAGTCCTGCAACATGGGGCTATTACAGATGACTCCCACAGATGGCAGCTCAATGTGGTGCTACTGTAGGTGCCTGATACAGGGCATATAGAACTGCCAATAATTTGTGGATAGGTGGATATTAACATTTAAAATTCATTTATAGTACTCCCTGAACATTGTATTCATGAGAAAACTGTACTCTTCAAATCAGAAAAGGGTCTTATAGTAGTCATTGAAAGGTTCAGGTATTATGCTGTCCTTCCCCTGTTACCTGGTACAATCCACTTAGGCAGTACCCTGGTCAGCTCAGGGGTCAATGGGACTTGGGTCTGCAAGGAGGTGTAGAGGACCCCTTTAAAAGACAGACCCCTGCCTACTTTCTCTCTTTTCTCTTATTCTTCACTTATGCTCTCTTCACTTTCTCTCTCTCCACTCTCTTACTCTCTGACCTGCTCTGTTCTTCTATTTCTCTCATCTCCACCTCTAGCTCTCCTGCCCTATAATAAACTGGTTGATGTGCTCTCTATAGTTTGTGTTTATCTCTTGATTTCTAATTTAAGAAAAAGAATAACAGTCATAAAATCCCATTGATGTGAACTAGGACTCTCTTCAGGCAAATTCTGGAGCAGTCAGAGAACATATGAGTAGTCGTTAATACTGCACCTAAAATGTTTTAGGTGGGAGAAACAAACTATGTAAGTAGGATGACTATTATTCCTCCAAGTTCCTTATGGCACATAGAACATGGTAGGGTAAAGAAAACTAATGGGTACATCACATCTTCATGAACTGAGAAATCCATGAATTGTTGGAAAGAAAACTAAAGCTTTCGATATTTAGAAAAGCAATAAAATTTCCACCTTTCAACATATATTCTGCTAATCACCATCTGTGGAAATTTGCATTTTATTCCAGTATTTACTTCTCTTATTCATTACTTTTCTTGTTTTATTAAAACATAAGGAACATTCTTAGTTTCATATAGAGACAGTGTGGTAATGAAATGCATAATCTTTAATAGCTAATATTTTAGTAATTAAGATGTATAGTTTTGAATGCATTAAATTTATACAAATATTTGAAACCAGATATATGGTGAGGAAAATTTAAATTAAAAATGTAGCGTTTTAAAGCCATGGTTTCTTTCCATTGAATTCCTTTTTATTTTTGACAGTTTCATACATTTATATAATAAATAGTAGTCATTTTAACCGTCTTCCCTTCCCCTATCCCCCTTGATTTCCCTCTGAATCCCTTCTTCCCAAACAGTCCTCCAACTTTGACGTCTTCTTTTTGTGTCAGTCACTGAATTTATTACAGTGTCCATTCTGAGCATGTTTTGTATGTTATTCACTGAAGCAATAACAATTTGTTAGTGGTTACACCACTGAGGAAAATGACACCTTTCAAAACTGTCCCTTTTGCAACTATGGCTGCTTTATAGGAAGAAAACTAGTTTTGTTTTTTGGGTTCTTTCTATGTATTCTCACCAAAGTATGTGATTCCTTCATCAAGAGTATCTTATCATCATGTTCTGATGGGAAAGAAAGATCAATAGCATATAGAGATTTGTTACCTTCAGTTGTTTTCCTGATCAGCAATTCATAGGGATGTATCCTATAGTTGAGACTACAGTTACTGTTTAATAATCCTTGGATTCTGGAAGGAGCACTATCCACGTGTAGAGGGCACCTTCATTCAATACTTTCAGAAGCCATGGACTATATTTTAACTCCTCTTCTATCATTGAGTAAAACTCATTGTGCACAGCTAGCATATTTTCATTGTCCATTAATCTATCAATAGACATCCAAACTAGTTCCCTTTCCTAGCTCTTGTGAACATATCTGTGAACACACCACAGATGTGTGTGTGTCTCTGTTATAGAGTATATTAATGTTTTAGGTATACACCCTGGAATAATGTATCTGAGTCTTGCTGCCCTACGTTTTTTGTTTTCTGAATAACTAATGTTAAAGTTAAAGCCCATTTTCTTATATGGAAATACCTATATCTCAAATCATTTTATTATATACCTCATATGATCATTTTATTACCCTATAAATGTGTTTGAGCAAAGAATAAAAGATCATTACTTACTTATAAGTTCAAGGATATGTTTATATATCTATTTCACTACAATCATCTTCTATAATATATGATTGTGTGTTGGTGAAGAGAAAGAAAAATGAACATCAAAGGACAAAATTAAACCAGCACTGTGTTAATGATACACATTTCAGTTGTACTCTTACATATTTTGGGTCATGTTTTCAGTTCATGTGATCCTATTTGATTAATAAAAAATAAAATTTACGATAAATACTCCCATTTTATTAATATAAGCAAGCACTTGGGATTTTCATGCATCAATATGGAAAGGATATGCCCTAGTTACATTCTCACTCTGATAGAGTTCTCTTAAATCAGTAGTTTCTTCCGACGTTCAAGAAAACCCTGAATTTGCAGAAATTATTTTGACTTCTTGCTGTACATAGCACCCAACTCCATGCTGCCATGTCTTCTTTTCATCAAAAGTACCAGTTCAATCTCTGTGACAGCTGAGAACCTGAAACACCCACTCCCGCATCTGTTTGGTTCGTGCTGCATATATTAAGGGGTTGACCATGGGAGGCACCAGGAAATACAAATTGTCTATTATAATCTGTAAATAGGGAGCCATATGGTACCCTAAAATCTGAGATAAGACAGAAAAGACAACTGGTGAGTAAAACAGACCAATGACACAAAGATGAGAACCACATGTGCTGAGAGCTTTGCTCCGGGCTTGCCAAGATGGAATATGAAAGACAGCATGGAGGATTAGTATATATGACAAAATGACAAAAACTAGATCAACACCCACAGATGCTACAATAACCAGCAGGCCATAAACAATGTGGTTGGTGATGTCTCCGCAAGCAATCATCACCAGAGCCATGTAGGCACAGTAGGAGTAAGCAATGACCTTGGTTTGGAATTGTTCCAGTCTTTTTGTCAGGATGGGTGCAGGGGTCAGCACTGTCACTGCTCTTGCCAGTATAGCTAGTACCATCTTCAGAAGCATGCTGTTATCAAGGATGGTTGTGTACCTCAGAGGATAACAAATAGCCACAAATCTATCAAAAGCCATGGCCAAGAGGATTCCTGATTCCATTACATAAAAGGAAGGGATGAAAAACATTTGTGTGAGGCAGGCATCAAAGCTGATTTCTTTGGCATTCATCCAGAAGATTCCTAACATTCGTGGTACAGTGACTATAACTAGACATAGGTCCACAACTGATAGTGTAGCCAAGAGAAGAAACATCGGCTCATGGAGACTCCTCTCTATCCAAATGATACTTAAGATGGTGATATTTCCTATGATAGTTATTACAAATATCAAGAAAAAGGGTACAGAAAACCAGCCTTGAGAGGATTCCAAGCCTGGGATTCCAGCCAGGGTGAATATCGTGGGCTGAGGAATGGAGTGATTGCATGAAGGCATGGTCATAGGAGCTCTTCAAGTTCTGATTCCTAGGGAGAACAGGGATAATATCATATGAAATTTCTATAGTCACACTTAGATATGGTGGTCAGCGTAGTAGCTTATTATGGTAATGACTCATAAATTGATGACCAAGTCAATATGAACATGAGGAAAATTATGAACAACTTGATGTCTAAGAAGAGGATATTTCTCAAAAATAAGTTCTTACTAAACATATACTATTTCCATGGTTTAGATTGTTTCATTGCTCTGATTCTGCCATACTCAATATTTATCATTTTATAATGTAACCACTTATGTGATAAGATATAGGCATGTGTTCCACATGTCAAGCAGAGTGTGTGCATATGAACCAGCCAGACATTTCAGTGCTTGCTTCAGGCAAGGAAGCTGAATATAATTATGTATTAGTCTTGTTTGGGGGGTTAGAACTTGCTTAGAACTTTGGAATTTACCCTGGAAATGTTTAAATGTAAATAGTTCATTCTGATAAAAGATCCAGAACTATATGGGAAATTTATGTAGAAAGCAAGATGATAACTTTGGTAGAAAAATGGATGTGTTGGATGACAAAATTGAGATTTCCAAAAGCCTCAGCAAATAATAACTTAAGCATTTTTCCAGATTGTTCAGTAAAGAACAATTGGAGTGTGGGTAAAAGTCAGAGGAAAAAGTGATTTTCTGTGGAAATGTTTGGTTGTGCTTGTATTGGGAGTAGTGTTGGGGGCTTAATATAATAGATGTCTTTACCAAAATACCACTCTATTTTAGTTATTAAAATTTTAAACTATGTTACTATTTTTATAGAAGTACAATTTTTCTGGCATTAAATGGAGGCCATGAATTTATGTTATTTTGCTAAAATGGAAATTACATTTGCATAATAAATGTTAATATAAGGAAATGATAGTAAGTTTTAAAAATTATATGAGCATAATTACATTTCACTTCTAAGGCTTAGATTTTATTAAACATTTCAACTATATAATAATAAATAACACAGTAAAGGATAGAAGCTTAAGATCATGAACCAAAGCATGTATTCCAAAGTTGCTTTACATACCAATATGATGGTATCAATTGTAGTTCATAATTCCTTCTTGTAGTTGACAGTTTTCTTGGAATAATAGGGTTTTATAGTTATATCCATATCAAACCATCCCATAATATATTTAACATGTTCCCAATTAGTTGTAAGTCTAATGGCTTGGCTTTTATTGCTGTTATTTTTGTTTTCCTTTGGAATTTTACTTTGAAACAGGGTCTTTTTATGAAGTCCATTTTGACTTCAAACTCACTAGGCAGTCAGATCCTTATCATGCTCATGTTCTTCCTGCCTCAGTCTGATGAGTGCTGGTATTACAGGCACACCTGGGATAGTCACAAGACTCTCAATGAGTTACTGTTAACTTTCTGGTATATGATATACTTGACATCATTATAAAGACAATTAAAACACATATAGGTTAATGCTTAGGTTATATAATACAGGAATAGCAAGTTTTTTATATAGTTTAATCATTACAAATGTGTAAGAGCATATTGTGTTGTTGGCTTAGGACTAAAATTCTATGTAGCAATTTTTACATACTATGTTGACTGATTTGGACATGAATATTTCAAATTATAATTGCATTTTGTTGAAAGGCACACTGGAGCTCAACAATAGACACATCTCCTGAGAGGTAACTTGGCATAGTGAAAATATGAAAGCCTTTGGAATCTCAGACCTCAAACTTACTCTATGTAACTTGATCTTATCTTTTTCTTTTCTTTTTGATATTCTTCTATGATTATAACATCTTCCTTTCCTTTCCTTCTTAACCCTCCCACATACTCTTCCTTGCTCTATGTCAAATCAGGTATTAAACTAAACTTCCAAATGCCAAAAATTAGATAAGCCATGTAAGGCAAAATTGATAGCTAGGTTTAAATCCACTATTCAATCCCTATGTGGATAATACAGGCATATTCCTGGCATAATTCCTGAAAATTTGTTCTAAAATTAAACTATTCATGCCTTTCAATGCTATATACATTTGAAGTAATGTAAAAGTTTGTATTATAAATTTTTAGTTACAAAGGACTGCGATGAAGATAAAGAAAAGTTTTGAATTGATAGCCTAAGCCTAAATAATTGAAAATCTAGGTACTTTTGTATTCTAATATTTCTAGGTTAATTATATGTTTGAAGAGAAAATATTTGGTATCACTATAGACATATATATGCACAAATAATTGGGATTAAAACATTAAAATATAATTAATTCACTAGAAGAATGTATCCTGTCTTTTCACAACAAATGTGATACCTCACAAACTCAGAAATCCAATACACCATGTTAAAGTTTCCAGGAGAAACAGTATAATCATCTATCAGGAATATTATGGATGATGTCCCCCACATTGCAGTGTCTTTAGGATAGTATTGGGATTTAAACCAAAATGACAAAGGTTTAGTCTGTGCTGTCATAAAACATTGACAATGGTCATATGAATATTAATAGAAGTAAAGACACAATTGATTCAAGAAAAACACTTGGAAGGTTTGTTTTGCTTTGCTTTTTTGTTAAGCAAGTGTCTCTGGTCATTCTTTAAAAATTGCAGAATTCTACAATGGGTTTGGGTATTTTGTTGAAATAATAGATTCTTTCTTCCTATATTACTCGCTGAGTCTCAGGATGATCTCACCCTTTCTCCCCCTCCTTTGTCTCTTTCCTGGAATCCTACCTGCATACAGTTACAGATCTGGTCACAGTGAGCCTGGAATGATCCCAGTGAACTAGAGGTCTGAGGAGGAGCTGTTTCACTCAAGAATATGATGGTGTGTTTGAGCTTCATGTCCATTTAATTTGGTTTGGTTTTCTTCCCTGGGTCCCAAGTGAGCCTTATCTTATATCCAATGTGCTACTCTTACCTTGAATGTTGTAGGAAACAAATCTTGAGTCAATTCACTAAGGACAGACAGTGACATTAGCATCACAAAATTTGCTGTGGATTGCAAACCCCAGAGAGACAAGCAAGAGCAGGTGAATCAGATGGGTGTCTAAGAAGGCAAAATCCAAAACTTTGTTGTTACAAGGCTGTATTTACATGTAAATTTATCAGTTTTCAAGTTATTTTACTTCTTTTCACCTTTAGGCTTCCACAAATAAATACGAAATGGATATTAGAGCTCTTAATTCCTTAATTGGCATTGAAGCCCACACTTATACCTAGAAATAGTATGGACCAAGTAAAGCTAATTTTTAAAAAATATTTGCAACATAAAGAAGAGAAAAGGAAGAAATGATGGAAATTTGAGCAAGAATGGAGTTCCAGATGAAAAACATCACAGAAGACAAGGCTGAGGAGGAAATGTTTTAGAAAGACTCTGGGCAGAGTTGTAGATATAACTGAAGGAGAAAGAAATTGTTGAGAACTATGATATTCAGAAATTACTGGTAAAGTATAAATATCTGGAAAAGAATGTTTAGGGCCCTGACTACTCATTCTTTGTTCATTCAAATTACTATTATTGTTTTAAATTATTTCTCCTATTTGAAATTATAATATAATTACATCTTTTCCCCCTTATTTTTCTCCCTCCAAAGCCTCCCATATGCCCTTCCTTGCTTTCTTTCAAATTTATCACCTGTTGTTTATTAATTGTTATTACATACATATATGCATATTTATATACACATATATGTCTAAATACATACAACCTTCTTGATCTGTATAATGTTGCTAGAATGTATGATTTTAAAAGTTACTATTTGGTATTAGATAACAAATTTGTGTGCTTTTCCTGGAAAACACTATTTATCCAGCTCTCAATATTCCTTAGTTGCTTGTAGTTCTTTGTGTAGAGTTAAGACTTCCTGGGATTTCTCTGGTCCACACTAGTATGTCTATTGCTCATATCCTTGTTCAGCTCATGTTTAGGCAGTCACATTGTTGAGACGATATGGTTATAGCTTATGACATTACTAGGAGACAGAATCTCACAGCAAATTACATTATAAATATTTGTCCTTATACTCAGAGAGAACTATACTTCTTACCCTCATCAAGGATACTTCTCTTTGAACCAGACAGAGACCATAACAGAAAACCACAACCAATCAAAGTGCAAAGTTAAGAATCCCAGGCCCAATGGATGCATCTTAATGCAACCACCATATCTAAGGTTCAGAGATCATTGCAGAAAAGGGAAGAGGGAAATTGTAAGAGTCACAGGAACAGGAAGTTTACTGCGAGATTGTGTCTATTTACTCTTAAATCCTTTGGCCCAGTCAAAGGTATGTCAACAAATAATAAAATAATATCAATAAATAAATATGAGCATTCCCCCCCACACACATTCACACACAATATTTTTCATCAATTGCCAAGGATTTATGATAGTCATTTATGATAGTAACTTCAGAATTTAGCAGAATCTTCATCAATTTTTGCTGCACACGGCAAAGTAAATTTGTTATACTCAGTGAATAAAGTTCTTTCTTGGTCATTATGGACAATCTGGATCAAGTTATTTTCTTTTTGGAGAGTGAAAGTTCTCCTATGATGTCTAAATCATTCATTTCTTCCATTTTGTCACACTACCATTTACATAATTACAGCCACAAAATCTTTCTTTTATTGATATATGTTTTGATTATATAAAGTTAAGTTGTATAATGTGATTGTATCTATTGTGAAGTATTTAAAGAAGCTGAACAGATTCACATATCTGAGAATAGCTTAAAATATTAAACTCACAATTTACAATACCTAATTATTACATATAGTCTTTACATTAAGTCCCTTGACATGTCCTTTAAATCTAGAATTGTTCAGCTTATGTGTATCTACATCACACTATGCTACCCTTACTAACTACATTTCTTCTCTTTTCTCTAATATTCTTTTAAAATGATTTCTTTTATTTTCAAAATTATAATTACGCCATTTTCCTCTGCTTTCCTCCCTTTGAACCTTCCCATAAATCCTTCCTTGCTGTCTTTTAAATT